TATTCCTAACTAAAAGAAAAATTATGACTCTCCCTTCACCACCAGCACCTTCTGGTTATTCCCTCATTGCCAGGAGTGTGGATCAATCTAGAATCTTCATGCTCTTGGGGACACTAGGATAGTATGTGTTGCACACATTCAGAATACCAGGACTTTTTGTTTTGTTTTGTTTTGTTTTGAGATGGAGTCTGTCTCTGTCGCCCAGACTGGAGTACAGTGGCGAGATCTTGGCTCACTGCAACCTCCGTCTCCTGGGTTCAAGCAATTCTCCTGTAGCTGGGGCCATAGGCATGCACCACAATGCCCAGCTAATTTTTGCATTTTTAGTAGAGATGAGGTTTCACCATGTTGGCCAGATGGTCTCCATCTCTTGACCTCGTGATCTGCCCACCTTGGCCTCCCAAAGCACTGGGATTATAGGTGTGAGCCACTGCGCCCAGCCGCAGGACTTTTTTGCTTTGGTTTTGTTTTAAGACACCGTCTCACTCTGTCACACCAGCTGGAGTACAGTGGCACAATCACAGCTCACTGCAGCCTTGACCTCCTGAGCACAAAGCATCCTCCCACCTCAGCCTCCCAAGTAGCTGGGACTACAGGCATGCACCACCACACCTGGCTGAATTTTTTATTTTTTGTAGAGACAGAGTCTCACTGTGTTGCCCAGGCTAGTCTTGAACACCTGAGTTCAAGCAATCATCCTACCTCAGCTTTCCAAAGTGCTGGGATTACAGGTATGAGCCACCATGCCCGGCCACTAGTACTTTCACAGTCAGTAATTCCACTGCTAGGATTTTTTTTTTTTTTTTTTTAGACAGAGTCTTGCTCTGTCGCCCAGGCTGGAGTGTGATAACACAGTCTTGGTTCACTGCAGCCCCTGTCTCCCAGGTTCCAGTGACTCTCCTGCCTCAGCCTCCCGAGTAGCTGGGATTACAAGTGCCCACCACCACACCCAGCTAATTGTTGTATTTTTTTTTAAATAGAGACAAGGTTTCACCATGTCTGGAACTCCCGACTCAGTGATCTGCCTGCCTTTGCCTCCCAACATGCTGGGATTACAGGTGCCTGGTCCACTGCTAGGATTTTATACTGGGAAGTAATGAGATATTCACAAAGATAGGTAGGTAGGTAGGTAGGTAGGTAGGTAGGTAGGTATATAGATAGATAGATAGATGATAGATAGATAGATGGATGATATAAATAAATATCTGTATCTGTATATACACACACAAGGTTATTTGTTGCAATGTTACTCATACAATTAGAAACTACATCCCCAAAATAGGAGGCTGGTTCCATAAATTATGATATATTCACACAAAAGGGTACTGAAGATTATTTTTAGAAAAATATTGAATGACATGGGAAGAGCCTCACAATGTCTTGCTAAGTGAAAAAGCAAATTCTAGAATAGTGTGACTGTAGCATGCTAGCCATGTAGAGTGGACAACCCAGGCTAGTATTTTTAAGTGTGTATTTGCATATTTTTAAAGATTTTTTTTTTTTTTTTTTTTGAGACGGAGTTTCGCTTTTGTTACCCAGGCTGGAGTGCAATGGCGCGATCTCGGCTCACCGCAACCTCTGCCTCCCGGGTTCAGGCAATTCTCCTGCCTCAGCCTCCTGAGTAGCTGGGATTACAGGCACGCACCACCATGCCCAGCTAATGTTTTGTAGTTTTAGTAGAGACGGGGTTTCACCATGTTGACCAGGATGGTCTCGATCTCTTGACCTCATGATCCACCCGCCTCAGCCTCCCAAGGTGCTGGGATTACAGGCTTGAGCCACTGCGCCCAGCTAAAGATTTTTTTTAAACCAAATGTTAAGTGGTTGTGCTTAGGTATTGGGAGGGCAGGTCATTTATATATTCTATATATTTACCTAATTTTTCATGATAAACACTTACTGGTTTTATAATTAAGAGAAAAAAAAGTTGCAGATAAACACATTTGCCCCATGCAATGGAGACGCTCCCACCCCACCTCAGCCTGGCATCAGCTGCACTTCCCTGGCCATTTTCTTCCCACCCAAGCCTGCTCCTGTCATGGCTTCCAGATCCTTCTCCCCCGTCTCTGCAATCTCTGGACACATCCTTTGCTCTGTCTTCAACCTCCCCTCCTGCTGCCTTCCTCGAGCCTCTCAACAGGCTCTGGGCTCTGCCTCCCTCCCCCTCAGGCCCTCTCTGGCCAAGTCCCTGCCCCATCTTCCTCTCCAGTCAGCCTTCTGTGGCCAGGCAACGACTTCCAGAGGGTATTACTGCCAGGACCACAGGTGACCTTCGGCTTCCAACCCCCGAGGACACTCTGGGCCCATTGTCCCCGCTCTTGCAGTTGCCAGCTGCTGACCCCTCCTGGGAGTCATTGTACCCCAGTCCCCTTGTGCTGGCCTCTGCCTCTCACCCCCTTCCTCCCCGGAAGCCCCATCGAAGGCCCTCACCCCATCTGGCCTTTTGTCTAGTTTCCACTAACTAATAACACCCACACTCAGCCCAGATATGTCCCCACAGCACCCCCAATTTGGCATTTCCTAAATCAATGGAGCTGCCATCTGAACCCCCTGCTTCAGGGCATGGCGTGAGTGCCCACAAACAGCCAAGCCAGAGTCCAGGCAGGTATGCACGCTCCTCCCACTCTGTCCTGCCCACCACCGGCCTTCACGGCTCAGGGAGGTCCTCCTAACAGTGCTCCATGCCACCGTCCACCTTCCATTACCATTGATGGAATGGTCTTTTAGCAGGGAATACCATTCCTTTGGTTCTCCTTCACTTGGGATCATGTTTAAATCCTGGCCTTACTGGGTCCTTCTCAATTGGCACCCCCACACACACAAGCATCAGGGCGCCCAGGACACCCTGCCCCCTCCACACTACTGTCGCACAGGTCTTTTCAGGATGGGGAGGTAGGGGGCATCCATATTTTGTGGTGCTTTAAATCTTTCTTTAACAATGTAGCATAAATATATATATATATATACACACACACCATATAGATAGATAGATGATAGATAGATAGATAGATGATAGATTTTTTTCCTCTTCACCTTGCTCATGGTGGTACTTCTGCTAGGAAACCTTCCCTCTTCTGGCACCTGGCAAACCCCAACTCAAGAGTTTAAGACTAAGTTGGCCAGGAGTGTGGTGGCTCATGCCTGTAATCCTAGGACTTTGGGAGGCTAAGGTGGGAGGATCACTTGAGCTCGGTTCAAAACCAGCCTAGGCAACATAGTGAGACCTCGTCTCTATTTAAAAAAAAAAAAAAAAAAAAAAGACTGAATGCCCACCTTGGGAAGACTTTCCTGCCTCCCCTCAGGGTGGTTACATGTCTCCCTGTCTTTGGTGTTGGGTTGAGCCATATGAATTTTTTTTTTTAAACAGAGTCTTGCTCTGTTGCCCAGGTTGGAGTGCAGTGGCACAATCTCAGCTCACTGCAACCTCCACCTCCCTGGCTCAAGTGATTCTCCTGCCTCAGCCTCTTGAGTAGCTGGGACTATAGGCATACACCACCACGCCCAGCTAATTTTTGTATTTTTAGTAGAGATGGTGTTTCACCATGTTGGTCAAGCTGGTCTAGAACTCCTGACCTCAAGTAATCTGCCTGCTTCGGCCTCCCAAACTGCTGGGATTACAGACGTGAGCCACCGTGCCTGGCCAGTCATATGAAATTGACATTCAAGCCATGTGCAGGGTCCAACCCTAGGCAGGCACGAGCTTGTCATGTGTCACACGCTGTGCCCTTGTTGGAGTAGGTGGCCCATGTTTCCTTGTGGAAGGGGAAGCGAGTGTTCCGTTGCCTTACAGATAACTGGAGGGCCTTCCTCAAGGATCTGTGGTCAAGGCTGACCTGATGAGCCTGTCCCAGCCAGCTGGCCCTCGCACATGGCTGGATCTGGTGCAATGAGGCTCTCAGCGCTTGTCTGCTGGACGAGGGTATCTCCCGCTGCTTGGGTGCCGACGCTAGGCACTGCACAGGAGCTGTTCTGACACATCCTTTAGGTAGTGTTGTAAGAAAGTAAGTTCTAAGCCAGTCATGGTGGCTCACGGCTATAATCCCAGCACTTTGGGAGGCCGAGGTATGAGGATTGCTTGAACCCAGGAGTTTGAGACCAGTCCTGGCAACATAGAGAGAACTTGTCTCTATAAAAAATTAAAAAAAAAAAAAAATGAGTCCAGTGTAGAGGTGCCCATCTGTAGTCCCAGCTACTCCAGAGGCTGAGATGGGAGGATCCCTTGAGGCTGGGAGGTCGAGGCTGCAGTGAGCTGTGGTTGCACCACTGCACTCCAGCCTGGGTGACAGAGTGGGAGCCTGTCTCTAAGAAAAAAAGAAAGTTCTAGGCCGGGCGCAGTGGCTCAAGCCTGTAATCCCAGCACTTTGGGAGGCCGAGGCGGGTGGATCACGAGGTCAAGAGATCGAGACCATCCTGGTCAGCATGGTGAAACCCCGTCTCTACTAAAAATACAAAAA